GCCCCTCCCCTAACCCTAGCCAAGCCCCTCCTCTAACCCTAGCCAAGACCCTCCCCTACTCCTAGCCAAGACCCTCCCCTAGTCCTAGCCAAGCCCCACCCCCAGCCAAGCTCCTCCCCTACCTCTAGCCCTGCCCCACTTGGTCCCACAGCCCAACCTTGCCTCTTAGCCGGCTTCTCCTCTAAATTCTTTCCCATCCCTTTCCATCTCTACTCATCCCTTTCATTCTAGTTCTGCCTAGGCAATGGCTCTGCCCAGCCCCAACTCCAGCCCCACACCTGCTAGTCAAGGCCCACCCAAATCTAGCCCCGCCCACCTCCTAGCTCCGCCCACCACCCTCATCCCTCCACCTGCCCGGCTCACCAGCGTGTCCTTATTGCTGTAATGGACCACCCAGCCCTCGCGTAGTGTGGTGCTGGACTTCCGTGTCGTGTGTCGCACTGATTGTACCACCCTCATTAGAGGAATGTACCCTAGGGAGCTGAAGGGGAGGTAGAGGAAGGGGAGAGAGATCACACAGAAAATTAGTACAGGAACCAGCAGTTAGCGTAATGGCTATGTCACTGGACTCCCATGTAGTCGACCGCGGTTCGAGTTCCGGACCCGGTGGATTAAACTCATGCCAGGCTCATGTGCGTGCGTGCCCAAGATCCCGAGAGGAGAATGGAGGAGAAGGGATTGCGCGTGGCCATTTCCGTCTCTGTCTTTTTGGTGAGTGCACGTGCCGTATAGCGAAAACCTCTCAAAAAAAATTTTTTTTTTTAGTATAAAGGGGCCAGCAGGTAGCATGGAGGGTATGGTGTTGGATTCCTACATGACCTACTATGGTTCGAGTCCTGGACCCAGTGGCTTGAAAATCAAACTAGGCAGGGGAGGCAGGTGGCATGGCGGTAAAGGCGCTGGACTCCCACATGGCTGACTGTGGTCCAAGTCCTGGACCTGGCAGCTTGCTTTCTCTCTTTCCTTCTGTCTCTGGTCAAATTTAAAAAATTAAAAAAAAAAAAAAGAATAAAATTAAGTAAATAATTATTTGTTTAAAAATTATTTTATTTAGCTTTATTTATCCATTTATTTAAATTTGACCAGAGAGGGATAAAGTGAAAGAGAGTGAGGGAGTGAGAGAAAGTGAGGAAGCAAGCCGCTAGGTCCAGGACTCGAACTGCGGTCAGCAATGTGAGACTACAGCGCCCTTAACCACCATGCCACCTGCCAGCCCCCAAATAAATAATTCTTAAAAAAAAAAAAAGAAAGAAAGGAAGGAAGAAAGAAAGAAAATCGCAGCGGGTGCATGTGTGCATGCCCAGAATCCTGAGAGGAGAATGGAGAAAGGACTGTGGTATGTGTACCCCCTGGGGGTGCTTTCTAACTTTCCCTCTCTCTCTGGTGAGTGCACAGACCCTATAGCAAAAACTAAAAACTGAAAACTAAGAAAGTTACAACACTGGGGCCGGCAGGTAGCTTGGTGGTTAAAGGTGCTGGACTCCCATGGCCGACTGCGTTTTGAGTGCTGGACCTGGCAGGTGCTTTCTCCTTTCCCTTTCTCTCTCTCTCTGTCTGGTCAAATTAAAAAATAGTAATAATAAATGAATTAAACTTTCCTCAGTACACCGTTACTACGTGCCCATGATCTGGGGCTAGCTGATACGGGGGGTGGATTGTGGCATGAAGACCCTGTTGGGGGTCTCTGTCTCCCTCTCTCCCTCTCTCCCCTGGAAGAAATACATAAACTTAAGGAGAAAAAAGTCGATCTCAGGGACTGGCAAGTGCACAATCTGAGGTGTTGTCGGCCCGTCGTAGAGATGGGGAAGTGGAGGCTTGCTGTGCGGCAGGACCCTCACGGGGTGGCCACGGGTACCTCTGGGCCTTGCCTCCCTCGCCTTCCTCCTCCTCGCTGGCATGAAGGGCGTTCTCTGAGTGGGAGCCTGGGATGACGCCGGAGTCGTCCGAGTCATCTATGAGGGGGCTCTTGTCAGTCTCGTTGAAGTCGGCGGCCTCCTCCATTGGCACATCTGAGGGGATCAGAGCATGAGTGGGGCCTCCCCCAGGGCCTCCCTCACCCCTCCTCTAGAAAAGCCTCCCAGCCTCCTGCCGCTTACCTCCGTTGATGAGTGCCTCCCCGAGACAGTCATTAGGGACACGAGTGGCACAGCGCTTGTGACAGTTAAACTTGCAGTCTGGCAGAAGGACAGAGAACAGGGCATGGGTGGGAGCGAAGCAGAGGCTGCTTGTAAGGGCTGAACTTTGACCCTAACCTCCAGGCTCCAAAGCCAGACTCTTGCTGTCCGGGTCAGAACATCTGCCCTTTTGTGGTTGTTCCCCTACTCTGAGCTGCGGTTTCTCCCACTTATGGGGTGACCAGATTCAGTGAGAAGGCTGGACTCAAAAGCCCTATGACTCTGAGGCTGGTGGGTTGTGTGGTGGTTAGGGCGCTGGACTCATGCACGGCTGACTGTGGTTCAAGTCCTGGACCTGGTGGCGTGTTTTCTCACTTTCCTTGTCTCTCTGTCTCTCTCTGGTCAAATTAAAAAGTAAAAATAATAAATATAATTAAATAAAATATTTTTTGAAAAAAAGTTCTATGGCTCTAAGGTCCTAACAGTCTAAATTTCCATTAATCTAGACTTTTTTCTTAAGCTTTTGCTATAGGGCACACGCATTTGACAGAGTCAGAGAAAGAGTGAAAGAGAGGGAAAGTGAGAAATTGCTCCCAAGGAGAGCGGCAATCCCCTCTCTCCATTCTCCTCTTGGGATCTTGGGCACCAGCGCACACAAGCACCCAGTGTGATTTGCAAGCCAATGGGTGTGGGACTGGAAACGCATAGCCACGTGGAATCCAGTAACCTTCACCTTCATGCCACCCATTGGCCCCCATTAATCCAGACTTGTAAAATTCAACTCAAGAGTGAAAGGCTTGGGACCAGCAGTTAGCGTAATGGCTATGTCGCTGGACTCCCACGTAGTTGACCGTGGTTCGAGTCCCGGACCCGGTGGCTTAAACTCATGCCGGGCGCGTGTGCATGCGTGCCCAAGATCCTGAGAGAATGGAGGAGAAGGGATTGCGGTGTGGCCATGCCCCCTGGGGGGTGATTTCTCGCTTTCTGTCTCTCTGTCTTTCTCTGTCTGTCTGGCGAGCGCACGCGCCCTATAACAAAAACCTCTCCAAAAAAAAAAGAGTGAAAGGCTTGTCACAGTCGATGACTCCAAACTGGAGCACAGGGCAGGGTGTCCGTCATCGGGCACTGCCAAGGTTCAGGCCGGACAGCCCTGTCATGGGGGCCTGCTGTGTGCACTGCAGTGTGGCAGCAGTCCCCTGGTCTCTGCCCACAAGATCCCACTGGCACCGTCCCAGTACAACAAACAGAAATGTCACAGCCATTGCCACACATGCCCTGGGGACAAAATGGCTCCTGGCCAAGATCCACTGCCTGGGTGTTTGGTGAGTCCAAGGTTCTAAGATCTATTCAGCAGAGGCCAGACCTTGTGGAAAATTTATTTTCTAAAGGTTCTATGATTCCGGACTTCCAAGGTTCTAGAACTCTCCACATCTGTGATTCACAGGTCTGAGTCTAGACTTCTAAGACTCCTTAATGTCCACGGTTGTAAGATTTTATAGGTTTAAGCTCTAAAATTTGGCGATTCTACAATTCTAAATTCTAGCCATCTCTGCTTCCAGAATCTGATGATTCCACAGCCCTAGGAGTCTATAATCTAAGATTTTAGAATTTTATTTTGAAAATAATTCTTTATTGGGACCAGCAGTTAGCATAATGGCTATGTTGCTGAACTCTCATGTAGTCAACCGTGGTTTGAGTCCCGGACCTGGCAGCTTAAACTCACGCCGGGCACGTGTGCATGCGTGCCCAAGATCCCGAGAGGAGAATGGAGGAGAAGGGATTGCGGCGTGGCCATCCCCCCAGGGGGGTGATTTCTTGCTTTCTGTCTCTCTGTCTCTGGCGAGTGTACACGCTCTATAGCAAAAACCTCTCCCCCCCTCAAAAAAAATTATTTATTTTATTTATTATTATTTTTAAATTTGGCTGGAGAGAGAAAGAAAAGTGAGAAAGCAAGCTGCCAGGTCCAAGACTTGAACCGTGGTTGGCCATGTGGGAGTCCAGTGCCTCAACCACCACACCACCTGCTGGCCCAGATTTGGGAATTTTCTATCTTTCTGCTTCTTTAGCCCTGGACTCCCAAGATTCTAGAACTGGATGGTTCTAACAGATCCAGACTTCTAGTGCTGTGGGATTTGAGCATTCAAAGTTTTGGGAGTCAAGCTTTCTTTTTTTTTTTTTTAAAGAATTATTTATGTAATTTTATTTTTTCATTCATTTATTTTAATTTGGTGGGGGGAGGGAGAGTGACAGAGTCCCAGATCTGGTAAAGCAACTCACCAGATCTGGGACTCAAACCGAGATTGGCCATGTGTGATTGTCCAGCGCTTTAACCACAACGCCACCTGCTGGTCCTAAGGGAGTCTGGTTTTCTAGGAGCTAAGATACAATGGTTCTAGGCTGGCAGGTGGCATGGTGATTAAGGGCATTGGATTCCCAACATGGCCAACTGTGGTTCAAATCCCAGACCTGGTGGCTTCCTTTCTCACTTTCCCTCTCTCTCTCTCTTTTGCTCTTGCTCTGTCCCTTTTTAGTCAAATTTAAATAAATAAATAAATAAAGTTAAATAAAATAATTCTTAAAAAAAAACAAGGGGCCGGCAAGTGGCGTGGTGGTTAAAGGCGCTGGACTCCCACATGGCCGACCATGGTTCAAGTCTTGGACCTGGTGGCTTGCTTTCTCACTTCCTCTCTCTCTCTCTCTGTCTCTCTCTGATCAAACTGAAAAATAATAATGATATAATAATAAATAGTTAAATAAAATAATTCTTAAAAAAAAAAAAAGATACAGTAAGATTCAGGGCACTCCCCTTCCAAGGGCCGGTGCTCCCTGAGGTTCAGCCTAACGAGGTTCTTGCCCAGCCACAAGCCCAGCTTGGGAGGAGAGGGGGTCCTGCCCTCGGCCCTCCCTGCCCGGTGCTAACCTTTGCACTGCAGCCCCTGGCGGAAGAGACCCTTGAGGAGTTTCTTGCAAGCCTGGCAGACGGTGGGCCGCGTGTAGCTGTGGATGAGGAAGGTGTGCGGCACCTTGACCTTGGACAGCAGCATCTTGTCCAGCTCGATGGGGCGGCCGGTGTAGGACGAGGCGGAAGACGAGGAGGACGACGACGGGGGGCGGCGAGGCAGGAGGTCGGTGGTGCTACGGCTCTGTGGATCAGCGAG